TTGCAGTTTTGATGGTTGCGGCGTAGATAGCTATTCCTTATTTTTCCGATTTGTCTTGAACAGGGTATGGATTTTTACTTTTTAGTGTCTTAAACAGGGTCAGGGATTTAGACCGCTGGCGGCACGTACCTATCCAAAACGTGGTCGAGTACCCCCCCCGGGCAAACGACCTCCGAACATTGATTCGCACTTCGTTAGTTTTCGGAAAAAGATGAAATCATGTTTTTGTATACATAAACACTGCAGCAGTAATTACCTGAGTAACTCGTGTTTGGTTTGGTTTGTTTTCCTGCACGGTGACTCGATAAGTGGCTTGTTTACACTGGGGATTGTTGTCATTAACATCAGTCACATTGATGGTGACTTGAGCACTTTGGTGGTACTTCTCTGACGTAGAAGTCTCTGTCACTTTTACCTTATGACAGCAATTTCACATAGTACATAAGATCGCATACTTAGGAAAGATGACAAAAGAGTAAACAAACCTCAAAGTCATATCTTCCTTGGGTCTCACGGTCGATGTTCCCGTTGACTGAAATATCTCCTTTGCTATTGACAACAAATTTTGACGCAGCTCCAGTAAGTGAGAAAACGAACGCAGCATTTACACCCTGTCACGAACACAACACGAGAAAAGGTACAGTTATTGAGCAAAATAGTGATAAGATATATACAAAACACAGCAAGAAGCAAAAAAGATGGAACATAAGATTATATGTCATACAGCGTCGGAATCTTGGGCGGTAACCCGCAGCACTGTCAGCCCTTTAGGTGAATTTTCAGGTACAGTGCCCTTATAAGGGGCTCCAATAAACTTAGGCGAGTTATCGTTGACATCAATGATAGTAACTTTGACTGTGGCATAAACTGCTTTATGAATTGTTGACTTGGCCTAAAGTATGAAAAGGTTAAGGTTAAGCTGATTTTTTAGGGAGGTCAATCTGACATCAAAGAGTATACAGGCAGTACTATGATAAAGAATCTGGGAACTTACTCCAACACGCAAGTTGTACAAAGGTATCGTCTCACGATCTAGCTTATTATTGACTGTTATTACTCCAGTACTATTGATGATTATGAAGGCAGATCCAGGATTCGTATCTACAATCATAAAATAGATCATTATTACAGCAAGGCGTCTGTATTCGACAGAAAACAACGGTGTCTATCTCACCTGGATCAATAAGATAACTCACTGGAGCATCAAGTGAACGATCACCATCGCGAGCTGTTACCGTGGTAACATATACACCCTGAAACGATATCAACCAGGTAATGATTATAACTGAATAATAACCCTATTACAGTTAATAACTGAGAGCAATGAATGGTAGTTCCCAAAATGCTGGTTTGGTGTGTCTATATTGTATTTTAAAGACCTTTGCCGCACTTTCAGATGTTTGTGCCGTGTATGATGATGGTTCAAAAACGGCTGGTAAATCATCTACATCTTGTATCTGGACATCTGCTACTGTAGAAGCAGACAGACCACCACCATCCTATAAAACCAAGACACCCGTTAGTAAGGAAGGAAGCCTAGTCGTTACTTCAGTTTGATTGACTCACAGTTGCAGTGATGGTAAGACTGTAATTTTTTTGCGTCTCGTAGTCAACACTTTGGATAACACTTAGGGTTCCAGTGTACCGTCCAATGTCAAACCTTTTGTCCTAGTAACAAACGCACAACATACCGTTCAAATGATTTTGATGGACGATTGCGTTTCATGAAAGACAAGCCGGCTAATAATTTTCCTCTATTAACTGCTTTGCTTACCTTATTTCCAGACGTTATAGAATACATGATCAAAGAATTCAGTCCGGATTTATCAGCATCACTGGTTGATACAGTGAACCCAGTTGGTCCTAATTGATTCTAGAACAACATATCACAAGTTATGGCTATGGCATCTATAGCTGCAATCTCTACTGCACGCTATTCCAGGGGAACATAAAACATTTCAATATCGAGACAACGCTATTTAATCTATGAATCTATTCTATATAAATTTGTAGTAATGTATCCGTGATTTCACTGCGAATTACCTCCTTAATGGTAAGTCTGTAAGGTGTGTTTTTGAAAACGGGCTTATTATCATTCACATCACTAATGATGACTGACACTGGGACTTTGACCTGAAAAAATACAATGCATGTGGTAAAGTAACCATCCATACACAGGTAGCCCATTTAATCACAACATTTTTGCATTTATTCAAAATTGTGTACTAACCTTTTGAGACTTGCCTGTGACATTGTCGTAGGCATATGCGTTGAAGTCTAAACGATCGTTGCTGAGAGACTGAGGAAACAACAAAGTCTTTACATAAATTATTTTCTCTGACTGAGTTACTTTATTTTAAAGCTAGCAATCCTTCTGTCTTTCCTTTCCTTCTCATCAATACCTCCCATGCCCAGGACTGATCAGTAACCATTTTTATTAGCAGGAAATGAGGACAAAAAAAAACTTCATGACTGTGCCATCACAATTTATCGATATTACCACAAACAGGAGGTGCAAAGGAACAGCAGCTGCACAGGACCATCACTTTGCCTATAGCGTTCTCTTACCTCTCTATCAATAACCACATTCGATGTTATTTGACCTGTGACAAGGTTAATTTTAAAGCGTCCTTGTGCGTCGGTTCCAAGCTCGTAATTAATCTGATCACCGTCATTATCAACCGCTGACACAACGACTACATTGGTTCCTAAAATAATAGTTACAAACGTATCATCAAGACTTTCCATTAAAACACTGATTTGGTCATGCTTATTACAAAAAAAAAACCATGATGATATATTACTAGCAGTGATTACATCATGATCACAAATATGATTGACATCCTCATGACAATGTGTACGGTCCATGACGTCACACTTACCTACAGGTTTATTTTCAGGTAATGATGCAGTGTACTGTGTGTCAACAAACCGTGGAGGAGTATTAGGTATCTGGCCTGTATTGACGATAGGAATTCCACACGAGAATAAATATGGCATTTATAATGAAACATGCACACACAATTGAGAGATTGGCTGGACATTGCACCTGTTCGACGATCAATTAACATATACCAACAAAGGGATCTCTCCATTGTTATTTTACTATTATTTAAACTATACACAAAACAACCGCTCTGATTTCTCTTTACATTCTTGTAATATTTCTACTGATAGAATTGTTGTGATTTCTCAATTCATTCATTATATTAGACTTAAATGTTTGATTCTGACTTACTTTAGTAAGTTTCAATACTTTATACAACAAACAAAATTACTTAAAATTAGAAGTATCAAAATACTTTATCAAAAWTCCTTGTAATATCCTGTTTTCATCAAACTTGCACGAAATCTTTTCAGATATTTTGATCAGACAATACACATGCCTTTGTTAGAGGCCGAAACATTTACACTAAAAAACTCATAATGTAAGATAAAATAAACATTTCTCTAAAGAATTAATTCTAAATTAGTTAGACGTAGCAATGAAATGTCTTAATCGCGAACTGAACACAACTCATTTAGCTTACCTTGCACCGCGGAGATAAGAGAGATCAGCACAAGCAACAATCTCAATAACATTTTCAAAACTTTGAGCTCGACAGAAGAGAATTGTACATGGACAATAATACTTATTATTTTTCGATACGTAGCTCTAATAAATGATTTTCGAAACTGTAGATGACCGATACACAATATTGATGCACAACCAAGCCCAGCGAAGATGACTCATTAACGGGTTTCAAGCAGTTTTGTGGTCATGGTCTTCATATATTTGCTGCTTTTCCAAACCGCAGCACAAAAACGCGCCAATAAATAGGTTGTTTATTGTAAAACCAACGACTGTCATAACAACGGTAAGAACGAGCTACAAAGCCTTGTATCGGATATTTTGTATGGGATATTTTGATTTTTAACAAACAAATCTAATGATGATCAAAAGTGAATTTGGCATTTTCTGTACTGAAAATACGTAAAGTGCCATTGTGATCAAAGCTCGATAATTTAATTTGTGTTTGATTGCTGTTTCATCCCAGAGGACCTTTCGTGTCAAGCAAACCACTCGATATATTTTAATAATAAGTCTTTATTGAATAATTTTAAATTGATCAATCAAGTTTCTATAGCTAATATAAACCATGCTGGAAAAAATTGATTCAATCGTTGGCAAAATTCTGTAAAATCACAGCTTAATTGAATCATTGTAATATATTTTATAATCATTAAAATGGAGGCTGTTGTTCAGGCAAAGATTTACCAATTCTTTACTAAAGTTCAGTCTGATGTAATCTAATTGAAGTAGAAATATAGGTGTTAGATTCTTCACTAACCAAAACAGTYCTGAAGTTGAAGAAGGACGAATCATGCGGTAAGTGTTCTGATATCCGACCAGTTCGGGCCGACCAGACACGGTAGCGATGAGATGCGTGACAAGACTACATAAGTTTAAATATTTATCCCGCGGGAAAACCGAAACATTCTCGCGTCAAAATTCTCATAATGGCTCCCGAGAAGTAGATGATCTTATTAAAATATATAATGGGATTAAAGACACATTTCAGATACATGAACATGCGAATAATGAACAAGTATTTAACGGAGATCTTGCACGATGTACATATACGGTTGTAGGTGAAGTAGATATAGGGAAACATCCAAAACACGAAGTACACCAGCATCACAGTAAACACGGAATTGAATGTGTTAGCATTGTCTTTAGAATGCGTCTGATTGGCCACTTCCTCATTCTGATAACATGTCTTAGCCATAACAGCAAAGCACGTGACCAGTATGATCAATCCCGTCATGCAAAGGAAGATCATCATCACATAAAAGTAGAAAGAGTACKCAAAGTATGTTGGGAAGAGATTCATGAGGCACACGACATTAATAGCTGCACCAAACATAGAGGTAAACCAAATACCCAGTACAACAAGAGCTTGTGAACATGGATCAGGAACTTTGATTTCTTGAAAACGCACCACTTCATTGAATACCTGTATTGAAATTCCAGCCATTGAAAAAATACTGGCAAATCCTGCCATGGAATCCACGCCTTCATAGATGATGTAGCTCAAACTCGGCCATTTCATCATGTTGTACAAGAATGAAGGGATGGATAAAATACCAACGAGGAAATCGGCCAAAGCAATGCTGCCAATTAGATGCTTCTGCTTACTAAGTAGGGCCTTCGTGGAATGAAGTGCACGGAGTGTCAGGTAGTTGGGAATGACTGCAGCAACACCGATCAATCCACAGAAGGCTGCAAGTACGAGCATTTCCCATCGTTCCATCGCAGGTGCGATGTTAAACAGATAATTAGTCACCATAGAAACCGTGGAGTTAGATGATGTCGTGTTATTCATCCTAAAAACAAAAATGTTAATTTTTGATAAGAAAATAAAATGAAGGAATTGAAACGGCAACAAATAACTTTAATAACCCACAAGCGACAACTCCTTTATCTGCTGAACTGACTGACGCGACACGATTTTCACTTGAGATAATTAAGTTCAGGCGTAGGAATATATGGTAAATTTGATATCTGTCAAGCACAACTTCTGAATTGTCATTTATATATTCACACAGGTGCAGGAAGAGCAAAATATGATATAGAAATCTAGTATTATTTCAACCTAGTATAACATATACTTTCAAAAGTTCAGTTCTTAGGGCAGACGTTTTGAGTTTGATGGTATATAGATTACAGTGTATGACGTTCACAAAAATCTCAGAACGTTCACCAGCAATAATGGACACAACTGAGTTTATTTTCCTCTCATCAATCTCGTCCTGTGAGTCATGAATTCTTAACTATTTTCAGTTGTCAGTGTTTGTAATCAGAATTGTAGCATCTTTGATACTGATAAAGAGATAACAGTCTAGTGTATTTAATTCTGCTGAATAAATCAGACTCAAACTTGGCCCATGATTCGACCTACTCTACCCTTATACCATACAATGCCTGTTATCAACAAGAAATTGACATACTCGTTATTACTAACCCCACGGAATTATGGTACCACGAAATTGTGGTAGAAACTGTCTAATAAATTCCGATACGTACAGAAATCAAGAAGTCACTCACATGAATCTAAACATTCAAAGCAAACAAGATTAAGTACATACCTTAACATTTAACTCGCTTCGTATTTTAGGTGTACAAAAAGACGCTCAAATAAGTTYTGTCAAGACATTTTCTCGGGACATGTCGGTAGAGCACCCTAGAATTTTAGTAGATCTTCAGTAGCGACTCGAAGCCAACCGCCACGATCATGCATTGACCTATGATTCTTGTGGATCAATTCAACAATTACGATTTACATAACTATACAACATATATTAAGATATTGAAGGCCGGTCTCGCACAAGATTGGCTCTTAACAATAAACATAAGGAAAGCAGAATTCAATTGGAATGGTGTAGCAACTTTATCAATTATGCATCACTGCAAATATACTCGTCAACCGTTATTAAAGTTTTCAATGTGCATTCTTTTCTTCGTGAGAAAAAAATGTGTTTATTGAACTTTTCAAGGGCAATGGTTAACTTTGAGTCTAGAGGGCCTCAACTGTTGTACTGAAAAAACTTTGTTAATCGATTCAGTGTCGTGCTGTTGGCAATTAATGCACAAACAACATTATTGTATATCATGAAACAAAAGTATATTGACACTGCTTTGCTCAAAGCAGTCACTGTTTTTTAAAAGTAATCTTTTTACTAGTAGGATCTTTGTCGGTCAATGAAAATGAAAGAGCTGAGATATGGTTGACTGACGGTTGTTCTCGCTCAGCTTGCCAGTGGAGTCCGTCAGTGAAGTCATGAATTTTTTACAGCAAAAGGCTTTATTCTAGAAAGAATCAACTTAGCTCTTGTTTTGATGTATTTATGTTATATATTTTAGTTTTTAGATCTTAAACGAGAGTCAAGTCAAAGCCAAACGAACACTGATTGACAAGACGAGGAGACATCATATCAAAAAATTGATGGAAAGAAAAAATAATCACAACAAAAAAGATATGATTAAAATAAATAAAGGAAATTTAAAGGAAGCATTGATAAAAAGAAAGGAGAATCTTTTGAAATAATTGCCGATTGTGATATGTGAGGCGGCCAGTATTCATAAATTGACAACAAACATAACGAAAGATATAAACATGATGGGGAGCTTTTTGTATTTTATTGAGGTCAAAGCGCAATTAGTCCATTATATTGAACAAGATGAATTCATGTTTTTGAAAACATAGTTCGCTTTTCCTGACAGTACTGACGTCATGGGTCTAACATGTTTCCTCTGATTCAAATATCCACACTCCGTCCTGATTAGACTAGACAGCGTTTATCTATAAATAAGAATAATATCTGGAAATACTAGAATAGGATGTTATTGTTTATTCCCTTTGTATTCAATTGTCATCGATTAGGTAGTGTTTTGGGCGTTGGCACAAATGTAACCGAATTGATGTAGCAATAGAACATTGAATATCTCTTTACTGCTGGAATTAATCGTAATTCGTAAATTGCAGACTTTGATTGCAATCACAGGTGTACTTYACCTAGCTGGTCGTTGCCACGACAATTCATTATTGGTGACTTCCAAGGAAATATGTTTCTYAGAAGAGACACGATACTTTTTGGATCTCTTGCGAAAGCTAATGAGTTTCTTAATTGAAGATTTGAACTCCCTGTTGTTCTTGTAGTAAATCAAGCAATTAATAAATGACCCTCCATACTGGAGAACCTTGGTTAAATGACTAACAAACAAGGGAATCACGGTGATGTTGTCGATTATTACATACGCGTAGTTTAGACATTGAAATGGAACCCATGTGCAAAAAAACGCTATCACCACTAACTTAAAAGTACGAGAAAGTTTCTTATGGTACACAGTGTCGTGTTGCCTCAGTTCACTGGTAGGTGATCGGAAAACAATGATTAAATTAGTAGTTATAACTATAATAATAGCACCAAAGAAGAAGGAAGCACTGACATAGTCAACGACCTTGTAGTTACTGTTGGTGATAAAGGTCGAAAGGTATATTCCAGCAATAGTGCATGCTATCAGCCAGGTAGTCAAGATACTGTATAAGTACATACTGCGCGTTATGASACGATGACGAAATGGAAGCACAATAGCACCAAAGCGATCGATGGATATAAGGACAACAGTAAACATCGATCCATAACCGGTTACAACATCGCTCGCTGTAAACATCTGATAGAACAAATCATTATTAGGAGTCAAGTTGTTTTGAAGAAATGTGATCATAAAATAAATGTACAATGGCACTGATACAACTGCAACCAGTTCGTCCATGATGGCAAGGTTAATCAAGAAATAATGGGCTCTTGGCCGGGCACGAGTACATTTTAAGTTGAAGTAGTAGTGAAGTACTAAAGCATTACCAACAAGAATGGCAATGTCCAGTATCACAAATACGGTTGTCCATAATGACACCTTGACTAGCGAAGAATGGATTGCTGTTTCGTTATTGTAAGTCTTGTTACTCATTTTTGTTCGAAGAGACGTAAGCCTCGCTCAACCAAAGAGTTATCAACTCCGCGCGAAAGGTAACACCGATCCACTTGCTGTGGCTGTGTTCTAACAGCAGAGTTAGAGTAAAAGAAGTTGTTTTTTTGGCCTGAAATTCACCTCCGGCAAGATGACATCGGTAAAGAATCCAAACACGAGAACCCATAAGATGATGCCGCCGGAGATTGACCACTTCGAATTCTATTAAGGACTTCTGGATTTAAAAACGTGGAAAACGTCTGTTTTAAAAATTGCACTCATGTTAATCAGTTATAAAAATATACTTATCGATTTGATGACTTGAATGTTCATTACAATTTGGAGTATTACTATAATTGTTGCTATAAATCAAAACAAATTAAGAATGATTTGTATAGTCGCTAAATAGACTAATTGCTTTTAGCTATACCACAGCGGGACCGCTATCAAAAATAAACACATTGATAAAATGCGTTTTTTGTATGTCAAGGTGATAAAAAAAGCGTTTGTCCTAATCTAAGCACTTAACATCATGACTACTATAATCTACCATAAAAGAAATCCCGACCAGATCCGTGAATTATCACATTGGCGATCAAAGACTGTCGTACTCGTTTGCTGAGTTGTCAAGGAGGTCCAAGGATTCCACTAAGCATACAAGCTTATTCTTACTTATGCCTCGACTGAAACTTCCGACTTAAGTAATGCGCATGTCGAAAGTGAATTTGCGTGTAAACATGTCAAATACAAAATCAAACAAAAAATGTCTCTTAAATAAAGAGTTGATACTTTTAAAGAGAACAGTATAAGGTTACACTGACTATTGATTTCGATTTATCAATCTTTTCTTTACCTTAACTTCTTCRMCGTTCCACTTTTCAATCGCTTTGTACTTTGTTTTTGTACTCAAAACTAATCAGGGATGGCGACGAGGGGGCAAATGACGCGCACAACTATTTACTCTTTAGTATGTTAGATATCACCTCCAGGGATTTACCGATACTCCCATGCAATCTTCTAAAAAAAACATCAGAATAACCAAAAACAAACCCACCATGTGAAGGTGGGCGTCTGATGAATAGAATGAAAGACCACTGATTTGGTGTTAAACATCAATTAGGGACCGGATTACAATACTGCGATTCAGGACTACCATTAACTATAATTTTAGCTTTCAAGAACATTTAGAGTCGAGGTGCCTAACTCAAGGTGCATTATTTAGGTATGACTCAAAGAACATAGGAAGCCCAATTCAAAGTGACTTACTGTCAACAGAGGATTTTGTAGAAGTAGAGACAAAATTCAATGTGACGTCAGAAATAATGGCTCAAGAAAACCGACTAATGATGTCAAAAATCAGACAGGAAGCCCACCTAAAGATAACTCCACAACGAATTGCACAACAGAGATCAATGTGACTGCACTTAATTTCACACAGGAAGCCCAAATCATACCTTCATACCTTCATATATTGGCAATTCAGGGATCAAATCTAATATTTTTAACCATACTTTAAAATGCAGGTGAAGCAAGCCATAATCCTTGTTATGAATGAGTTAATCCTATATATCCATTATGTACAGATATAATATACAATTGTATAATGGCCAGTCTTTAATTAGCATCTAATTATCTCATTCGTACAGTATTAACACCTCCTTGTAGTAGTATATAACTTACTGCGTAAATCACACACGATTATATTTACAAATCTTGCTTTGCCCATATATTATGTTATCAGTTGATTGTATTCATTTTACTAAGGTCCATCCATCTGTGAAACTACTTATTCAGTACTGTATAACATCCATATCAAGATCTCTCTAAATGGATCCGGTAGCAGAATGAAACAAAATCGACACTTGATTCACATTTTAATATTTATCTTGAAAAAATGCACTTGACATGCGCTTAGTAGTTCATATACACAATCAGACATCTTTTCGCGAAGTCACGTGATACCACAGATGTACAAATCATGATTATGCTTCGGTTTCACTGGATCCAATTCGTTTACGGAAGATTCCATTTTCTGTGCCATTTCCATTTTCTTGCCTCAGGTTGCCGGAACGTTTTCTTGTGTCTTTCAGCGATATCCAAGTAGAACTTGGTCTTGAGAGCGTGTTACGACCAAACAATCGAAGAAGAGCAACACGAAAATCAGGAATTTTAAACGAGTAGATGATTGGGTTGATGAACGAATTACAGTATTGTAAAAATTTACTAAACAATACAACGTTATAGTCTATTTTGTGTGGACAGTTGCTGGGTTTACAGAATCTAAACACGATGTTCAACAGATAGAACGGTAACCACGTCACGACAAATATCAAAGTGACAATGCTCAGTGTAACTGCAAGTTTACGATTTTTTTCGATAGTTTTCTTGGTTTTCTCGTTGATTCTCCATCTGACTTTCACAGCAATACAGATATAAGCCAAACATATGACGACCAGGGATGTAAATAAAGCAGCCATTGTTGAATTATAAAAGGCATCTCCAATGACGTACTTATAACTGAACAACATGCGCAGAATCCCGAAAATGCCCGCCAAAAACCATATGACTGCAATAAGCACGAAATAAACAGACGAAAGCGTAGTGTGATGCCAGTTTGGTAAAGCAACAGCATAGAGTCTCTCCAGAGCGATTATGGTCAGTGCGAATATGGATGCAAATCCCGTAAAAATATCTAGAGTGAGGTAAATGTTGTTAAATAGTGGACTGACATTAGAATCGATCATAACCGACACATGATGTATGAACATTGGTAGAGACACACACCCTACAAGCATGTCCGCTATTGAAAGTGTTAACAGGAAATAGTTGGTACGTTTGCGTAGTAGTTTACTTTTAGTGAAGATCACGATGGCGATTGTGTTTCCAACAATAATAAACGCATCCACGGTTGCGTAACCAATGCACCATGCTAAGATTTCATTGGCAGACAACTGGAAAGTAGTTGAAGGAGAGGTGGTCGTATTAGTTTTGTTGTCCATCTTCAGGGAAAGATCTGTAAACAAACAAATAAAGATAATACTTGCAAAGACAACAAAACAACGATGAGTAGCAAGGGAATAGAGTGAAAAAAATAAATAAATAAGAACAAAACCAGTCTTAAATAAAAAAAGTTACAAACAATCAACAAAAACAGCACCATCCAAATGATTGCACTGGGGACTGATCAATGCTGAATATCAAACGAGAATAAGAAATATTTTTTTGCCTGCGTACCAAGCGAAGATGATGAACAGTTCATCGTAGATTATATTGCTTTGAAGTCTTATGATACTGCGACTATTTCCGATGTTATTCTTTTTAAAATTAAAAAACAGATGATATTGATCTTTGACGGACCCCAAACACAAACTACCGACATCAAGAGCGTCATTTTTTTGTCCTTTGGGCTTAAAAATTAACGGTCCCGGAAACAAAGAATTTAAATATAATAAAAACAATATTGGTGCCAGCAAAGCACTAACCAAGCAAATAGCATAAATCGTCAATAACCTAAACAAAAACTACCATTAAATTATGTCAAGCAAGAAAAATATAATTTCTTTTGAAGGTGAATGTTTGCCGTTCAGGTGATAATCATACAAGATGTTTTCAAAAAATGTATAAGAAAACAAAAACGACTTCAGTTTCAGTGGTTTTTGTCCGCGTAACTTTATGACATAATTGCTCATTTATTTCTTAGAAAAAATACAAGTCTGACAAAGACAAATGGTTTGATGTAATCATGAATCTTTTATAGTCAAATAAATTTCTATTCACTATGAAATATGTCAAAGGATGCGAACCTTTAAATCAATAAACAATAAAGAGCCTTTTAAGCTTTTTCCCGGTGCTCTGATTGATTGCAAATTCATCTACCTATCTCTTCGAAGCAACCTTGTCAAATCAATTGTTAATGCGAAGTTAATGAAGTAAAATGACGTTTGTTTTAGTGTACAATAAGCCGATTGTACTAAAACACAAAGTCGCGCAGCATTCGTCAATAGAAACACCAGCTCAAAACCAAAAAAATAAAAAAGCCAAACGTTCTGTAGAGACTGCTATCATTTAACTCACCATGATCATAATGAGAGCATTACGCGATTGTGATGTAAGAAAAACGATCATTTATATCCACTGCTATGGACTAAAAGGACGTCCTACGCACAGGTAATTGCACCTTTATGACTCAACCAATGACGTACCAAAATTATAATTATTGATTACGACCACTGCTCCTTCACGAGCAGCCATCGACCAAGATTTAAAGATATGTATATCATAAATATGAAATAATATAGATCGCTGCGGGTACAGTATTTTGAACTGTCTTATAGCTGCGAGCAAGGATCGGTAATATACTGCTAGTCAGTGCTAACCCCAAGTGGTCGTCTAGCGGATGCACAATGACAACATAGTGAAAGGAAAGAGTTCCAATGTATTATGACTGTTAGTATGCTCACCTCAAGTCAAGCTTTCTAATCTGACAAATCTAATTTCATGTTAGCACAATAAGAAAAGGGAAATGCCCAAGTCATCAACATTCCTAACTGCTTGTTCACTACTCAATTTACATTTATGGATAAAAAGTGATAGATCGATATAACACACACGAAAAATAACCGAAAGACTGAGCGGAACAAGTGCGACAAGCACTCACAACAGGAGGTCACCCTAGTCACGAATTATGGAAAACGATATGTAAAGACGATAATTTGAGTTTTTAAAACCTAACAGTAATAAAGAAGACATTTAATCAGTGTTGCTTATTGAAGTTGATTTTATTAGCCGTGCGATCGCGATGCTTTTTTGCATGAACTAGTCCAATATTTTAGCCATATCAAACATACAATATTTATCGGTTATATATCTAAGGCGCTAAATCGCTGAGTACACCCACCAACCACTTTTGATCTTTGTAGAGGCACTCGGTTGATCTAATACTCAGGTAACTGAGCTCGGGTTGGTCTTCTTCGTTTATCTTTTATTCAGTAACTTCAAAATAGATGTAAACTAGTTCGTATAGAACGATTTATCGCCGACCGGGATGAAAGCACCTGAGTCAACACAGAAGCAAAAAACGACCGACAATTTACCATATTTGTATTCAAATGCAAAAGAAAAAGTCGAAACGAAAGCMAAATCTAAGAAAAACGCACAGTCTAAACAATTGTTGCGCGTCCGTAAGAAGAGTGGGCAGTGTATTTATCATAACAAACGGAAATCTACCGAATTTAATGGCTCCTGTTCCAAGCACAAAACTAATGCATCATACTGTGAGACTAAAAGCGACCTTTACACGCTATTATATGATGAAAAATACTACAAATAAAAACCTTTTTGTCAGCAAATCCACTGGAACCAGTTATTTCTTACCGGTTGCTTCTACAAACGAATAACTCCAAATCTGGAGGGAAAGATAGGCGGCATTGACAAAAAACAAAACTACAAAACACAAATAAACACTATTAATTAAGGTTAAAGTCTGAAACATACCGTTTGATCAGGAGAATTGTTCTGGTTCTTTAAAATATGTATTTAGCTACACGCCATGAACAAGTGAAGGATAAGCACACTAAAAGAAATATTCTAGCTTCGTGGTTTAAAATGCAAATGCATTTTGGCTTTAATGCGAGTTTGTTTATCTAATTCAAGACGATTAAACAGATAGCTTCCTTTTTCTAATAATATTTACATTATCATCACTTATAAAGTATGCTTTGATGGAAAGCAGTGAGCGAGTATCACAGAAAACATGTTGAATTGATTGGTGAGGTTTGGCACAGTAATGCTTGGAACATTTGATGGGTTTCACATATCGTTAGATACTGAGATTACCATTTATTGAGTGTCACGTGACTCACTGATAGCAAAATACAATTCATGACATTTCTGGTACGCAAAAAAGATACTTTCCGCTTCCAAACTCTGTGAGGTAATTGTCTCGAAATAGATCCATACTGTTGTGAAAACTGTACCACAAATGCAAACGAAATCGCCATGGACAATTCATGAGAGACTGGTACCCAGTGCTAATTACCGTGGCATATATACAAAGCTTTGACACGTGTAGATAAGAGGCTTGTATCAAAAATAGAAAAAATATGAATTCGTCTCTTAGGCCACTAGAACAAATTATCATAAACATGAGCTAAAGTAACAACTGTGAAAAAACTATCATAATGATCAAGTATGCTTTCTGTTTTTGACAGCAAAATAATTCGATTTAACGTGAATAGTACACAATTCAATATCACCGTGATATAAGTCAATAAAACTAGTGGTCATGTTTATTTATCTTTGATGGCAACATCCACATCAAGATCCACACAAAAATGTCATGATGCGCTATAAGTAGAATGTATTTTGACGAAGAACTCTCATTGTTTACACAATTTGAATATAAATAAGTGCTATCTCGAGATCGAATCTTTCAATCCTCTGTAAGCCCTTTTTTTCGTCGATTAGCGACTAATGTTCACGGTAAGTAAAATAAATACGCGCAATTTTACATTCTAGGGTTTCTCGGTGTGCATAATATAAATGCTACAGAAGAAATCTTTCTTAAAAGCCAGCATATATTGTGATCATGACTAGCCTTTACCTGGACTGAATTTCACTGCAGAAATATTGCCATCAAAAAGCCTGAGACGTGGATTCTGCTGATGGGTTAAAACAAAATACAGTAATAACTGAATGGAAGTACACCACCTAAGTTTTAGCAGCAGCACTGGAGTATTGTAAATACCATATCGTACAAGTTGTACCTGTTCCTATTACAATGAAAATACATCGTGTTGTAACCACGCTTGTTCCACTTATTCACGCTTTTAGCTGCTGGACGGTTTAGAAACGATTTAAGTGAAATTAAGTTGATATCTCTAATAATGATATGTAAATACATGAGAGAATGAATTACTGACAAACAAGGGTTTAATTAGTTTGAAATGAAAATGAAATAAAACAACCAACCAAATCGGTTGCACTTAATATCATATGCCAAAAACAAATGTTTGGCAAACTGTGGTCGGAACAGATTTGGTAGTTTTCGAGCGCGAATTACGATCCTAACAGTTTTCTAGTATATGAATAATTAAAGATGTTATATTTTGTTAATAAAATATTCAAAGAACCGATGAAAAGTTGTTAATTCATTCTTAAATTAAAAAAGGGTTAGCATATGAAACATTAGACTACACAGGAAGTTTGTCAGGAAAGTCTCTAAATTGCAACCTTTATTCCCATCATTATGGTGTCTTACAATCGAAATGTATTCTGATGTGGTATGAGCTGCTTGCCCTTCCTTTGCGGTCACTAGACTTGTAATGTTGTCATATATATGTTTTGGTTTTATATGAACGAGTTATAGGTCGGACACACCCACACAAAGTACTACAGAGAAATGGGAATCTTAGCTTCAAAATTTAGCCTCAGGAAACGATGGAAATAAATCAATTCATCATGAATTTCAACCCTACACTACCCCTACTAGGGTTCAGGGATGCTGATCTTATGAGTCGTACATGTCTTGGTTGGGCAGACAACAGTAATGCAAAACACGACCAAAACAACAAAGCATTATAAACATAAATCTATTTAAACAGAAGAATAATTGAGTTTGTGGCGATTAAGGAACGTTCAAAGTGGTTTGCCTAAGTGATTTGTGAGTAGTTTGGCTGAATTGGTATCACAACATTTGACAAGACGTTGGAGTATGATTGATGTTCACGCGCCCCTTGAGTAAAGAATACATTTGTTATTCGAAAAACACCTTTCCCTCTTCGTTAAAATTAACTTTATAATAGACAAAAATCGGCTGATCTCTTAAATGTTACGATCTTTAACTTCCTAGTTAACTAATCATCAGCAAGGCCTGCAAACATGATTGCTGTAACAGCAGGGAATTGTACTGTTAATTTAATGATTTTATTAATAACTACAATGAACAACTTCAGATTATGGCTCTCGCATCGAGCTTGTGCGAGCTCTTGTAAACTTAAGGAGCTTTGGGATCAAATATCATACAAAATCAATTCTACAAAATGTCTTTATAGGCGGTCGGTATTGCTGTAGAAGTCATTCGTACTGATGGATAACTCAACAACTGTAGTTTGGCTATATATAGCTGGCTTATGTCATGTTAATAACATTCTACGTGGTTTTCAAAGTAAGGCAAATGTTCTTCTCATTGTCAAAATACAATAAATCCAATAGAGAACCTGTAACGCTTCGTAAGCCAATCCTATACAATGCACGGCATGGTAGTCACCAAAAAAAAAACATTGGATTCAAGACAATCATTTAAAAGCATCTATTTCACGTTCTGTTATGTCTTCGTACAGAGCCGCAATTGAAATATAAATACAGCATTCTATTAAAGATGGTGCTTTGAATAATTTACGTCTGAAATGAACCGTGGAATCAGTGTATAAACAAACTAATCTTCTTTCCTTACCTTATATATATCTCAGCAAGACAATCAGTCCCCACATATATTCAATCTTGGATTTCCAAACGGGATGCTGTACGGGCGAGTACCTGGGTACTTGCAAGACGGTTTATATCAAGCTACGCGGGACACGTAAACAACAAAGTTGTGAATTCAGTAGCTGTATTCGGTTAGTAGTACATAAAAACCTTCCTCGACACTCTGCCAGTCTGACGATTCCACTAATTGGAAATGTAACCAGTGATTTTTCTCAACGAAGCGATTGAATCAAGTGTTTCGTTCTAAAGTTTCTTACTTGGCTTTGTTTATGGATTACTTGATCACCTGACCAAACGGCAATGAATCAACCAAATGACGGTGTATAAATAGAGGTGATATTCATTGCTACGATCAACACGCAGTTCTGGGGCTAACAAGTAACCATTAGAAAATACATGGCATCCTTGTCTCAGATTTCACTTAATTATCAACTAAATAAATAGAAGCAAGTTTTTTTATACGATTTAGTTTGAAATCTTTTTATATATAATATATTGATTGTGTGGGAAGACTGCTGACAATTTTGGTTTTTTGACGTCAATAACAAATGATGACTTGCTTTTTGTCATGAGAATGAGCTTCTTGTGGTATGCTACACAGGAAGCCCGCGGATATGACTAACCACATGTGAAACTACTATGGATTAAAAGCATGTTTCAGTCTCAGTAGTTTCAGTATCTGGTAGATCCGCAAGGTAAGATCGGAAACATTTTTTTCCGCAAAGTTAAGAGTTTATTTATTGCTGAGTATWTTTTTAACTGTTATATTTACATGATCACATAACAAATTTAATCTGCCAAAGTAAAATCGCAAAACATAATACTTATTTTTAAATTACAACAGAGGAACTAAACAATGAACTTTTCCAACAATTGTCATGTATACCGGTTTTCATGTTGAGGCGAGTTTATTGCAGTTTTCCGGCAACACTGAATATATTAGTAAAATAGTGAATAGAACCATAACTGCGCATGGCATGGCAGGAGGCGTGTATAAAACAAGCTGTCAGATACCATGGTATTGCGGGCACTGGATAGATAGTAATAGTTATGTCACCTTCATACTCTTGTTTCCCTGGTGAGACCACGTGGGCAGCTATGGCTGCTCTGCACGTGAAATAATCTGTAAATTGATCGACGAAATTCAGGGATCTTAAGTGTGTAGACTACAGGATTGATAAAACTATTACAGTAGTGAAGAAATTTAACAAAATAGATGCTGTCATATGGTAGGTCAGAAATCACTTTGTGATGGAAGTTTGCCATCAGGTTCATAATGTTGAAAGGTAGCCATGTACACACAAATACAACTGTCACTATTCCTATAGCAAAAAAGATGTTCTTTTCTTCACCAGGTCCAAGTAACTTTGCATTGCTCCTTTTACTGACAAAAAACTTGATTTTGATCCAGACTGTGACGTACACCACAGAGATGATTCCAACTGATGCAAATGATACTATTGTCATGGGATAAATAAATAATTCCTTAGGAAGCAGATGATATACCATAGTTAGCCAAAATACACCAGAAATCAATGCGGCCAGACACCAAAGTCCCCCAATGACAATCATATAATAGATTCGTCTGGTGTATCGATGTGTAAAAGGCATGAGGACGGCATACAATCTTTCCATTGATATCACTGTCAGTGTGAATACCGATGCTAGCCCAGTAAAGATATCAACCGTGTTGTATACAAACCACATTGACTTTAGCCTCGTTTGGACGGTCAGTAAATACACATACATGGGAAGGGATAAGGCGCCCACGAACATGTCAGCGATACTTAGGCTTAGTAGAAACCATCTCCTCAATTTCCTTGGTGATTTCATGTAAATTAAAGCAAGTATTGATATCCCATTACCCACTGCGATTACAACAGCCTCAACACCAAAAGCGGCAGACCATCCCAGATTACTGTAGGGCGAAACTGCTGGATAATGGAGTGTGGACGCAGTAGAGTTGTTCATAGTCTTTCCCGAGAKTTTCTTTCTAAATGAAAATAGAATCGTTGGAGTCAGTAAGATAAAGACATCGACAAGCCGTTCTTACAAACATGTTCTGAAAACTCACTGACTATTTTATTCGGATCAAATACACCTATCTGTTCCATGTAAGTGATCATTGATTTCAATTAGTCCAATAATGTACATTATCGTGCATTTATCTACAGATATTTCTTAATTGGTACTTTATGATACTTGTATCAATACGTGACATTTACTATATCTTGGGAAATTATTGGTGCTTTAAAATACTAGTATCAGTGATGCATTGTGAAATGGACTATCTTATAGAAATCAAAGTGGGTGGTCGTCAAGAAGTCTCAGTACAAAACTAATCACCTCTTTCAGAAAGTAAGAGATTTCTACTTATCGTGACTATTGGGCCTGCATGAGATAAACTAAACCCCGAGTTAGGATCTCGAGTTGGATTTCGAGTTGGATTTCGAGTTGGATTTCGAGTTGGATTTCGAGTTGGATTTCGAGTTGGATTTCGAGTTGGATTTCGAGTTGGATCTCGAGTTGGATTTCGAGTTGGATTTCGAGTTGGATCTGGAGTTGGATTTCGAGTTGGAATTCAAGGTTGGATTTTTGTTAAAATCGGTATATCTTCAATAATTATTGAGTCATGAGAGTCATTGAGAAAAACGAATTTTTCGCAATTGTTTGTTAGAAAACGTCACAAATGRTCTCATTCAAAGTTAATAATCTCGAAAACGAGCTCGGGACTATGCACTTTTCTTTTCTCAGGTAGATTAAGGCTTGGGTTGAGACAAGTTTGCATAAATTATGTGTATAAAGTGCTTCTTGCCTTTTCTTTAGTAAAAGATGGTGATATTTTGACTTTTATCGGTGTCTAGCCATGAATGCTAAAATTTTGATATGTTTTTACTTCAAGGGGAGTATCACGTGACTAGYTAATTTGAATTTTAACTGAAAAATATTCGGTTCAAAATGGGGAGTGGAAATATTTTTCGGATTGTGATGTGTTATATTTCGTTTGGTTTCTATTAAAGAAGGCTTTTCAATTTAGACTTTTTTCTTTGAATAAATGTTTAAAGGAGTAATAAAAGATACATGTCACGTGATCGAATTTGCATATTGATTTTTTGTAAATATTGTCTTTAATAATAAGCGAATACAACGAGAAAAGACTATTTCATATATGAACCAACATCAGCTTAATATCAAWGCATGTTTGAACTTAATCGATAAAGCCTCTATATTCCCCATTTTCGAAAAACCGTTTTTGATGCCTTAAAGTCACGTGACCAACAAAATGGCTCATTTTTCATATACAAGTCTTGTGTACCAGGATCCTTAACATGTGTCAGAAATTGGGTTCTGTACTTATTAAGGTTATTGTGCTATCGAAGAATATAAAATTCCGCATGTCAACATAATACCCAAGCCTTAAACTACCTGAGTTTGTATTCTTATTCTTCGATGAGAACCACTACGTGGAACTTACCGTGCCCAGTCCAATTAAGAGGACATGGCGTAATACAGTGCGTAGCAGTTATCGATATGTGCTATTAAGATTTTTACTCTTGGAAGTATAGTAAGTGGATAGTTGAAGGTCATAAAATTCTCTTCTGTTGTATATATTGTTTGTTTACATACTAGTGTAATATTTAATTTATTTTAATTAATATTTAATTTAATTTCGCTCAATTTTGGTGGTCATTTTGTTAGTGGTCCTGAGACATTTGAGAATAGTTGAGGTGACGTTTTTGACACCATTTTTTGTGGTAAAAATAACGATACAGTGTGAAATCGATGTTAATTCCAGTTGAATTCCTATTCATGTTAGCATGCGTGTGCAAACAACATGGCACAGCACAAACTAAAATTATAGAGAGTTTTTCGTTTGACAATCAAAACACGGCAGCTTTTCCGAATGTTGTTCAATATATATATTACGACAAGTTCACAGCACATCAATGTTCGTTTCACAGTAATACGAACAGTCCTCTAAGTAGTCAGGACCCTTAATCGAAGGTGTTTTTATGGTCTGTACGCTTATGAACTGATCAAATCTCAGAAAACAATAGAGTTGTCCATTTATTACAGCCATTCCCAAATGGAGACGTTTAGAATCAAACAATCAGTCAGTAACAAGTTAGTGATGTTGAATGTATCAAAATTAAAATAATTATAAATATATAAACAAACTTTTGTGAAACGTAATATAAGTTTGATATTGATCAGATCAGAGACTGGGACTGATGCAAACTTCAAAAATCAGTTGTCGATAGATAAAGCACATATAAGATGGCTGAAGTTTAACGTTTGAGCAAGTTTAAGTTATTTTCAAAAGTTTTTAAAAATTAATCGCATGCATGGCCCCCAAAACTATTTCGAAATCACAATAACTTTAGTCACGACGTTGTTATTCACGTCCCAAAACGAAGTTTAATTTAAAGCAACAAGACGCTTGTCAGCGTGCACTCGGGGTTCTTTTTGGTCTCTTGACAACGTCTTTCATTTTAATTATAACTACAATTATATTTTTTTGGTGGCCGCCACATTTTGTTGTGAGATTGTCAACAATGTAGCTAAAAAWTTYYTT